CAGTGTGATCTGCTCTGCTGTGCTGAGGGAGCCTTTTTCCTGGAACCTGCGGAATGGACCATCCTGTCAGGTTTGGAATAAACTCCCTCTGCTTTATGTTTTGAAGTGAACACGGAAGGAAAGCGTAGCCCCGAGTGAGGCAGGAAGAGAGCGGTCTTGGCCGTTTTGGCACAAGAGAGCCCTGAGGCTTCAGTTCCGGAAGCTTTGAATAGAATAATTCAGGCGTGTGTCACAGCTGTGACATGTGACCCTCGTTCCCCCCGCATGCTCCGCCTGCTGGAGGAATGAGAGGCTCGCAGCGTTAGAGCTCATGATTTTCTAGAGCAGAGCCATCCTTGGCCTACTGTGCAAGGTCCATCCACAGGCAGAATGGGTGTCTGGGGGTTCTTGGAAATGGGGGGAGCAAGGAAGTCACCATGAGGGGGGGTGGCCCCGGGGACACAGCTCATCCTGGAAACTAGTATAGAGGAGCCTCTGGTGGGACCTGGAGTGGGATTCTTAGGGTTTGTATCTCTTACAGTGAAGGTGACTGTGTAATTATTGCCTAAAATGACACACATTTAAGAATGAAGGACACTGGTGTTATTATTGCTGGGGCAACAGGCATAACTGAGGGTCTTGGGCAAAGAAAAGTGGCCATGCTGTTTATAGTGGAGCTGACATTATCAAGATTTCAGTTTGCCTTTATATATTTTTTTTAATCCTCACCTGAGGATATATCTTTATTGATTTTTTAGAGACAGAGAAATGGGGGTCGGGGGAGAGAGATGTGAGAGAGAAACATTAATTGGTTGCTTTCCATATGCCCCCCAACCAGGGATCAAACCCATGACCTAGGTATGTGCCCTGGCCAGGAATCAAACCGAAACCTTTTGGTGTACGGGACAGCACTCCACCAACTGAGCCGCCTGGCCAGGGCTGCCTTTATCTCTGCTTTGGATATTCATTAAGTTCATGGGAAGTGGGGTGAGGGCGTGAATTGATCAGTCACATCCCTGTAACGTTACTGTGAGAGCACATTTCGTAGCTGGCCAGGAGAACCAACCCTGCAGGGTTGGAGGTGGACTCTGCAGTCACAGTGCCTGGGTTCAGCCCTCGCTGTTCTTACTAACTAGTGACCTTGAGAAAGTTCTTGGCCATCACTGGGCCTCAGATTTTTCACCTGTAAGATGGTGACAATTGTGGTGCCTTCCCAGTGTCGTCGTGGGGTTTAGAGTAGATTGTGAGCTTGAAGGAGATTTGAGCCTTATTTGTGGATCTTGGATGCTGCTGAGTCTAGAGCCACGGCCCCGAGTTGCAGCCCGGTTGACGTTAGCAGCCGGAGTTGAGAGATGCAGGAGTCTTGTGCTTGGAGGAGAGCTGTTCCTTGGAAACATTTGCCTGGAGAGAACGTTTCTTTATATTGACTCTCCTGACCACCAAGGAAGGTGTGTTCTCTGAGGTTCTGTTTTGCTCTAAAACATAAGTGTACACTTGGCCAGTCACACTTCTGTGACTGTCGTAATGAATAGAATATTACAAAGAATAACCCCAGAAGGATCCAAGATCTCAGGGAGTGAGTTGTAGAAGTGAGGGAGGCCGAGTGAGGTCCATTTCCAGCTCTGCTTGGCTTGCTGTTTTTGGGTTCTGTTACTGCCAGATAAGAATATTCAGAGAATTTTGCACAAAATATATCCAAATTTAGCTACTTGGAATAATTCTCACTGCATCTAACAGTTCTTAAAGGATATATTCAGTTAGGAGACCAGAAAATAAAAGGCCATTCTGGTATTTACCACTCATGATGGTGACTCGGGCGTTTCTTTCTGTGTGGTCCACCCTGGTTCTGTAAAACTGATGGGACGACACAGATTACTGCTCCAGGGGCTGTGTTTAACTTGGATTCATGTGGGGTTAAGACTGCCAGTAGTAGGGAAAGGTGAGTGGGGGGCAAATTCTTTAAAAGCAACCTAGTCAGTCCTAGCCGGTTTGGCTCAGTGGTTAGAGTGTCACCCTGCAGACTGAAGGGTCACAGGTTCATTTCCGACCAAGGACACGCACCTCGGTTGCAGGCTTGGTCCCCAGTCGGGGCGCGTGCAGGAGGCAACCAGTTGATGTGTCTGTCTCACATTGCTGTTTCTCTCTCTCCCCTTCCCCCCTCCCCCTTCCACTCTCTCTGAAAAGCAGTGGAAAAAATACCCTCGGGTGAGGGTTAAAAATAATAATAATGGAAATAAATCACTGAAAGCACCCTAGTCAGTTTGGTTACTAGCTTGTACATTTTAGGACGAAAATTAATTACACATAATGAATTGCTGTGTAGCAATATATGACAGCAAGTGCTGTTTACTAATAGTCTGTGCTGTAGCTGGTGTCACTGTCCCCAGGGGTGATGATGAGCGTAGTTCATAGAAATTGGTTACTTTTAGTTTGCATGAATATTTTGTTTTGGTCTAATTTCAATAAACTTGATGACAAGTGAGTCAGTGACACTCAGTTTATAATGTCAGATTCCCCTTCAAAAAAGTATTACTTAAGTTTATTTTTTTCAAATAGTAATACATGCCTATGTTACAGAAATAAAGCGGCACAAAAAAGCAAATAGTAAAAGTTAAATCTTTCCCACTCCAGCCAGCTTAGCTCCCCACCCAGCAGCAGCCCCCATTGGCAGTTTCTAGTATATGCTTCCGAGATACTTTGTACAGGAACACACAGATGTGGCTTTAAGGTTTGTTTTTACCCAAAAAGTAACATAGCTCTGTGTCTCCAGTTTGATTCCACATCAGTGCGTGTGGCCTCTTTTTTCTCCCCGGCTGCATAAGGGGCGCTCTCATCGTTCAAGTGTTGGTCTGCAGTTAGGTTGTCTCCAGTGTCTCCCACCGTCAGTGCCGCCATAGACCCTGTGCCATTTCAGACAGATGGTGCGTGCGAGCGCCTGGGTGCGGGGTGCTGGCCGCGGGGCACGGTTTACATTCCCACCAGCAGCGAGTCACCAACACAGCGTGTCTCCAGATTTTATATCCATCCATCTGCCAGGTGAGAATTAGTATCTGCCGTTCTAATCGGTGGCTTTCTTATGAAGGAGTTTGATCATGGTGTCCTGTGTTTGAGGACATCGCCCCTTTCTGTGAATGGCCCCGTCTTCATGTACTTCCCTCTTTCTATTAGATGATGGAAGAAAACTGGTTGGAAGAAAACTCTTGTGTTTGAGCTGAGCGGCAAGGTTTTATTTTCCCTTTAAATTCTCCCCCAGTTTCAGTTTTCACCTTTCAGTCTGATTCCTCCAGAACGTTTGCTGAGGTGTGAGCTAGCGCCCGGCCCAGCCGTTCGCGCAGATGGCTCGCTCTCGCTCCGCGCGTTCCCTCCTGTCCCTGCTGCCTTGAAATGCCAGCATTACCATGTACCTAATTCCCATGTCTGCTTGACGCTTTGTAGAATTCCAGTCAGCTCCATTCATGAGCCAGTACTGCACTGTTTTAATTACTGAGGCGCTCTGGTTCCCACCCACCTGCCTCCGCAGTTGATTTTCTTTGTCAGAAAGAGTGCTTTTTACCCAGGATCTTTTTACATTTATGTGTTAACTTGGGGTTAATCAGTGGATATCTTATGATTCTGCATATTCTTGGTAAAGACTGCCGCGCTGTTCCATTTAAGTCTTTTATCTCTTGGGAGTATTTTAAGACTTTCTTCAAATGAATTGTGTATTTTTGTTTCCCTCAGTTTATTACTGGGAATTTTGTCTTTTTGGTCGCTGCAACAGCTGAAGGTCTTTTTCCTCCATTATGCTTTCTTAATAGTTGTTACTTGTACCCTGCTTCTTACGTATGATTACTCTGTATTTCCACATGTTCCCTTCAGGGGAAACATAGTTTGAACTTTGGAGCGACTGTAGCTGAGCTGGTGACTAAAATCGTTTGGAATTTTGTTTTTAATCTGGGTAGAAATATCTGTCATTCCATTGACAATTTGTTTTTAAAAATCAACACTAAAATGAAGTCAGCTTAATAAAAGTTGTACTAATAACAAAAACAAAGCTCTGTGATATAGAAATGCTATTTTCTGATGAATGACCACTGTGATGTCAAAGAGTTGATAGGAAACCTAAATGTTTCTTTTTGTTTTTAAAAGACACTTTACCATAGGACAGAATTCAAGGGCATCATGAACACTAGTTATAACCATGCTGTGGAACTGCAACATTAACAGAGGCGGTTACCTTATATAATAGTGACTCGCCGTGATTTTTCCGTGACAGCGCTGGGCATGTGCGGGGTTGGACCGCCCTGTTTCAGCTGAGAGGAAGCGTTTGTTCCAGGCAGGGCTGTGCACTGGTGAAACTGCTCTGACATTGGACCCTCTGTTTTGATGATTCCAGATCTAAAGCAGAGTTTCGTAAAGCCTCATAGAGCTGGGTGCAGTACACTGCTGCATGCTGTGTACCTTTGCTTTTCATTCCTGGGCCTGGGCACTCACCCCGATTGAGTGGAGGGTCTCGGTTCTCTTCCTCCTCTTACCCTCTCTCGAGTGCTGGTGGTCACCCGCCAACGGCTGTAGACTGGTGCTCAGGCCACGACTCACGTGCAGGAAGCAGGTCAGGTGATAATATGACAGTTTTACATAGGAGAGTACAGGTGTATGGAGTAAACCAGTGCACTTGTGAATTTTCTGTGAGGTCTAAGAGATTCTAGACTTTTCATCCGTAACAGAGATCACGAACCAGCCGCTTCTCATTCCTTCCTCCTCCCGTCCCGGCATTTACAGAGGTCATTGGCCTTTTCAGAGTCTTGGAACAGCCGGAATCATTTCTGAATTTGGCTTAAAGCACATTATCACCCCCAGATCAGCCGTAAATAAATCTGTGTGGGCTATGTTTCTAGAATAACGTTATCATCCCTTTTGTTTGCTTTGATTTCTTTGGCCAGGAAATATGTGGAGGACTTGGGTGAAGGTCGCTTGTTTTGCCAAATGTGATCCTTTTGCTTCCACAGGATGAATATTCCATCTTCCCGCAGACGTACTCCATAGACATTAATGGTTATATCCTTGTGTATTCTGTTACATCAATCAAAAGGTAAGACAGCTCCTCTTCCTTGCGTGAGCTTATTTTCCGCCCAGAGATGCATTGATCCTCATAAAGGACTGTGCTGGGATCCGTGGTAGCTACCATTAGCCTTAATCACTAAGCCAAGTGTTCTGTGGGGCGCACAGGTGGTTAAGGGGGAAACACCCTGATAGATGCTCTAGATAGACGGCGCCTGAATGTAGGCGGAGCCTGTCCCCTCACGAAGCGGGGAGCGTACACGCCGGGCCCTCCTCCTGCGGTCCCACCGTGTTGCTGTGGCGCTCGGGCTCTTCTCATTACGTGTCAGACCGTGTCATTTTGAACGTTCTCGGGGTCACTGAGTCAGGCACATGTGCGTGGGAACTGTTGGTGGGAAAATGAAGGAATTCTATGTGTTCCGTTTACTTTATTAAAATGGTGAACCTCTGACATTTTCTACTTTTCTCACCAAAACTTCACATAATAAACATTTAAAACATGAACACAGGATTGACATCTGATTTCGTACTTTCTCTTACAGCTTTGAGGTGATTAAAGTTATCCACGGCAAGCTGCTGGACATGGTGGGGAAAGTACAGTGAGTAGGAGCGTTTTGTTTCTTTTTGACTGCGCTCGTTCCAGCAGCGCCTGGGGACAGCCGCGTCCGGCACTGACAAATTCTCCCTTTTTTGTGTTAACAGGATACCCATTATGTTGGTCGGAAATAAGAAGGACCTGCACATGGAAAGGTGTGTGGCTGCCGTGTGACGGCGGGTTTCTTTACAGAGCTGAGCCTGCGTTGCATTAGTCACCAACGTTCCCGGTTCCGTTGTCCGACGGCGGGAGTGGTCAGCTGTCGTGTGTCTGAGTTTCTCTTCAGAAATGCAGCCGCACTGCTGCTTGGCAGGAGCGAACTCTCACCTGCCTTGAAAAATGTTTCCTCTAGAAAAGAGAGCAACGCTTCAGAGAATTATCTTTAGTTCCTTCTACCATTTTGTGCAAAGTAGACTCCAAAAAAGACAGGGGTGGCACATTTAGTCGGCGGGTTAGGATTAGGGCAATGCCCCATCCCCGGCGGGAGGAGACACTGGCCAATGCCAGCAGCCTGTGCACAGCATTGAACTGGGGACCTTTTGGGGTTCACCCCTGTTCTCGGGTGCATTCAGCGTGTGTTGGGTGTTGGGAAATGCAGTCCTGCTCTCTGAGCTGTGAGGGCTGCGGAGTGTGGGTCACCCCATAAGGCAGTGTGTCTGCTCTGTTCCCCAGCTCGGCATGAGTGGAGCATGGTCGTGATTTATGTGGGGCCCTTCTGTGTGGGCCTCTCATAGTGGACCCATGCCAGAGTAAAGTGAGCCTCGAACCATTGCCCAGCCTCCTTACCTGTGGGCTGTGAGCACTGAAGGGGCTTGTACAGTGTAAAAAAATAAAATACAGCGCTCTCTGTGTGACCCAAGGCTGATGACACTGAGCGGGGCAAGTGTCTCCATGAGAAAAACTTCATAAAATAACGGAGCCTGTCTCAGAAATCCACGCAGATGTTTTATGTCATGAAGAGCAAGACTCTGTATGTCGAATGCTTTTTCCCTTAGGGTGATCAGTTACGAAGAAGGGAAGGCGTTGGCCGAATCTTGGAATGCAGCGTTTTTGGAATCTTCTGCTAAAGAGAATCAAGTAGGTCTTTATAAACTCACTTTGCTCTGCGTCCCATCAGTCACAGGCCTGTGTTTCTTAGTCCACAGTTCAACACTGTCTGTGTCAACTCCTATCCAGTCTCGAACCTTCCCCCGTTCCTTACGCCAGCCTCTGGGTTGCCTCAGGAAGGCAGCATCTGTGTTTTAATGCAGCCAGTGTTCTGCTTGTGCTGGGACCTGGAACGTTTGTAGGATAATTGTAAAGGAAGCACTACCTTTGTGAACATACGTTATCGTATTTGTTTTACATGAAAGGCTGGTACAGAGGTAAGTCCAGGCTTACGTGGGTGGGAAGAGGGGCCGCGTGATGACCACAGTGTAGTGGAGGCTCGAGTCTGCGTAGGGGAGACAGACTGTTCTGGGTGAGAGGCTGAGGACCTGATTGGAATCCGGTTCTCAAGTCCCTCGTGTCCGAGATAGTCTTGGTTAGCGGGGGGCATCTGACTGTGTTTTGGATATAGTAGGGAAATGGTGTTAATTCTGTTAGGAGCTGTGATGGTATTGGGCTGATGGAAAAAGTATCCTGTTCCTAGAAATGCAAACCAAAGTGTTCAGGGGTCAAGTTCCATAATGTCGGCAGCTTGCTTTCAAATGAGATGGGTGGGGTGGACAGACGGACAGACAGAAAAAAGAGAACAGAGCACAAGGGCAGTAAAGACGCTGGCACTTGCTGAATCCAGACTTGGGGCTGGGTGATTATTGTACAGGCCTTTCTGTTCTCCTTTATGCTTGAAAATTTGCATAATAAAAATTCGAGGTGGAGGAGTGCAGCTGAGTGGCTGCCCCAAGCTGCCTTTGCTCCTGTTTGCTGGCTTCACTGTGTTTTTCTCTGGTGAAAACCTGAGGGTCTTACCTCCTAGTTAATGGGCATCGGCCACATGTTGACTGTTTGTGTGGGTCTGGCAGTTACTGTTCCCTGCAGGACCTCGGAGGTGCGGGTACCTTGGCCCCCACCTCCAGCACGTTAAGAGGGATTGCTGAGCAGGGAGCATTGCCCGGGTTAGCTTATGTTTCTGAGAGTGGCCTACGGTGGTTTGCGGTTTGGGTTTATTTACTGTGGAGCCTTCAGCTTCGTTTCAGTGATTCGATGAGAGAGAACGTACTTTGACAGATCACACAGGTTACTAAGGAGGGTGCTAAGACGTACCTCCAAATAGAAAGCCAGGTCCCAGGCATGTTTTCTTGGTAAGAGTTTGGTACGTGTCATTCCAAACATTTTTCTGTGCATTATTTTTAGGATGAAATAAGTAACTTGTTTGTGTAGCCCTGGGACAAGAGAGGGATTAGCAGAGTATAAAGAGGGAAAGATTGCAGAACGTAACCTCGATAGAGGAGGCTGGGCCTGGGCTGGCTTTGGCTGGGTTAGGGGTGGTCCTCAGACCAGCTGGAGAGCAGTCACCAGAGTATACGAGCCAGACTCGGGCAGGGTTGATTTGGGGGACAGAGCATGGCCTTGAATGTTGATCCTGTTTTCCTGGTGCAATGTCAACACAGTGACCAGCTGAGCGTGAGGATTGGGGAGGCTTTAGAAAGTCTGGTGAAAGGAAAGGGCATGGAACTTTCGTGGGGGAATAACTGGACATGGGAAGTGGAGCTGGGCTGTGGGTGGCACCAGGCGTCCACTCGTTCAGGGTCCTGGAGGTGAGGTGAGAGCCGTCGCAGCGTCCCCCGGCTGCAGCGGCTATATGGGGGAGTTAAAAGCATGTGACTGCGATGGTGGGCCCTGGGATCTCTGCTGGCCCAGGAGGAAAGTGAACAAGGAGTGGTTGAGGGACAGGGAACAGTGGTCAGATCGAGGAGGCAGGTCCCTGTGGGGCTGAGGACTGTCCAATTGGGCTGTTGAACGAGATGAGGGAAGGAAGGTGGGGGTTGGGGGGAGACTTGGCATCGAGTGGCTATTGGTGATGACAGGATCTAGGACTGCCTGTGAGGCGCTGGAGAGCAGGGGTGACCTTCTGTTATCACAATGAGCACATCTAAAGGACAGACTGACGATTGTAACCCTTGTTCAGCTTAAGAGAGTGCTTCTCCTGTGAAGGCCAGCAGGGCTGCCCGTGGGGGGCGCTGAGAGGCCAGGGCGCTGGGTGCTGCAGAGATGCCGCTCCGGCTCCCGAAGGAAGGGGAAAGGGAGAGGGACTCGGTCTGTGTGGGGCTCGAAGGTGACATGTATCTGCTCATCGCATAAGCAGCAAAACCAAGAGTTTTAAGGGAGTGCGAGGAAAATGGGTAGGAGGAGGGGTGATGAGAGTAAGAGCCTGCCCTGCCCTAGGCCCCACTGTGCAGGGTAGCAGAAGGGAGTGTGGCCCCCAGGAAGGGGTATTCTGAGGGAAATGAGAGCCCTCAGGTGAGGGGGTTGTGCTTATACTGGACTGAGAATCCAGAGGCTCGGTGGGAGTGGAGGGAGCAGGACTCCGTGGGCTCCCTGTGGTGACTGAAAGGAGATCAGGAGCTTGATAGGTTGGTTCTGGCTCAGGTCGGGTGGTGGTGGAGGGGG